CTACCTGGCTTTCAAAATTTTAATACGGAGAAATTTATATGCTAATTTATATGCTAATGATGGTCAAGTTCGTGGTGTTTTTAGGACGAATTTAGTGACTGGATGGGGTCTAGAGATCTCCACGATTTTCTCCATTTAAATAGTACGAATAGTTTTTCTACTCCTCTTCATACGACTTTTCTACATATCTCCATTTTTTTTAAAAACCGAGGAAGCTTTTTTATGCTAGTTAGTGTCAATAACTGTGCGGTTTTTCTTTTTTCGCAGGCAGTGGGTTTACCTCAATAAAAATTCGAAAACGCAGAAGGCTTTTTGAAAACGATTTACATGTAATCAAGGATAAATTACGGACTTTGCCTGGGGTTTGAAGGCGTTAATCGATACTAGAGGACTGATGCACTTTACAAGGTGTTTTGTTCACTTCTAACCTCTGCAAATCTTCGTGTGTTTTTGCTCCAGACCTGTTTGTTTTCTAAAATTTACACAGTATTCTATATGACGCCTCTGCTCACGCAGAAATTGTTGTTGATTTTCATGTTTTGAAAATTCGCAAACCCGAATTTTTACTTTGATAAGTGACGCCTGCATCAAATATTCCGAGATAATTGCCTATTCCTGAAGGTATTTTCGGATTATTTACCTACGTGCATATCGACCCTCAACACCCCCAAAAAGCATCGGCTTTTCCCACGGCGGCTCCAAGGGGGGCCAGACACACACAGACCCTCGGCCATTTTTTGTCGGGCTGGCTCGCCCTGGACCCCGACGCGATTCCACGCAAAAATGTATACGATTGCGGGAATCAATACCTCTGCTTTTCAGTTGTCTATGAGATGCCAACTTTTATGCCTCGTTATATTTTAGCGCTTTTCTAGAATTATTTAAGAAGAGCTTTTCTATGGATCCGTTTTTCTAACTTAATATTATTCTTCTTTTTCACAGTATAAATTGTTAATGCTTCTTCTTTTTCACGTTCTTAGTATTAAACTTTTGTTTTCCGTTAGACCGCAAGTGAAACTTTCTGATTAACTTTTTTTTTTGCAGAAGAGAAGTATGGATAAACGAGAAACGCGAAAACGAAATCGATCAGGTTCCGGCCAGGTGGGTGTTGTACTTTGAATTCCCGATTTTTTTACAGTGCAGCCTAGTTTCTAGTTTTTTTATTTAGCATCGTAGCCAAAACTGTGTCAAACAAAGCTATTTCCAAGCGTCTGACTCATATTCGGGACGTAGCGGCGAAACACAATAGAGGGCTTCCGGGTGAACATTACACAACTAGCGACTGAGGAAATTCACACGGGATTTGGGTTATAATACTAAGAAAGGGACTTAAAACGCACGTCTTATTAATGTTTGCTTAAAAAAGGTCTTCAATCACTTTCTATCTGCCTGTTCAAGATGTGATGATACGTATGGTATTTGACAATTCCTCCATTGCAAAACCTCATTTTTGCGAATACGACTCCGTTTCCTCTAAACTGTTTTTAAACCTCACAACCGATCAAAAATCTGCATTTAAAAGTTAAATTCTGCTCGATAAAGAGCAGTAATGGTACTCGATTTCCGTCGAACAAGGCTAGCTTTCTAGCCCGTTACCTAGAATATTACCATTTTCAAAAATAGGTAATTTCCACTCCGAAATTTGAGACCGATTCTCCCAGGGCTCTGCCCCATCAAGATTGACTAGCCGAGTGGCTCCCTGCCCCTACTAGCTGTCTCGCCGGATGTCTGCGCTCTAGCCCGCTCTCTTCCCTCTTTTCTCGGCCATCGTTCGATTTTCTGGGGTCTCCGCTTTAGGGGACTCTCTCACCACTGTCTGGCCCCTAGTGTCTCGCTCAAGAAAGAAGAAGCTTCGATGGGCTTTTTCAACAACATCGTTCTGCCCCCCGTCTTGCATTGGCTTCACGAGAAATTGGTTTTTGGAGAGGAGGATATTAAGCGCATTAATGAGAGGCTCGCTTCTCCTAACCTAACTAGCGATCCCTAACTATCTTTAGTTATCTCTAGCATTTCTAGCTCTCTCTGTCACTTTCTCTTTATCTCTCTCCCTCTCCCTCCCTGCCTCCCTCACTCTCTCTCTTTCTCGCGCCCTCTATCTCTCTTTCTCTCTCTCTCTCTCTCTCTCTCTCCGATATACCTATCTCTGTCTGAGGTCTTCTGTGATCTTCGGAAAGTGGGTGCCGGTTTTAAAGGGACTAGAAAGTCAGGAAATGATTTTTCAGAGGAAATCTGGCGTTTTATGACAATTGGCCGCTATGCCTTCCAAATCCCTTTAAAATGCACGGAAAATTAGGTTAGCTTACCCAAATTTGTCGATACGTTAATTTTCCAGCAGTCTCTCTCTCTCTCTCTCTCTCTCTCTCGCTCTTTCTTTCCTTGCAAATGCATCCAAAGGGTTCCGTTTACCAAGCCGCAAGCTTATCGAGCGCTTACTTAGCACAGGCAAAATGCTTCTACTGGTCTTACATAGCTTACTGACTTTCACATGTTCAATCTCCCTCTTTCGCCCCCCATCTCTCTCTCTCTCTCTCTCTCTCTCTCTCTCCCCTCTCTCCAGCTGATCCATCGCAAATGCCTCTAGTCGGTCTTTGTTCTCGCAAACCTCCTCCCAGCCGCTCCACCCACCCTAGTCGTGCACTCAGCTGATTCTTCTCTTTCTCTCTAGCCACTTTCTCTGTCCCTCTCACGCTCTAGCCTCTCTCTCCTCCCCTCACTCTCTCGCCTCTCCAAAAGCCAGCGCTCTCTCCCCGCTACCCCGGCCACATCCACACAACACATACTGCACACAGCCTAGGCGAGAGAGTGGAGAGGAGAGAGAGAGACAGAGAGAGGGATAGAGAGACGGAGAGAGAGAGCGAGAGGGAAAGACAACCCGGCCTCACGAGACCCCCATCCGTGCCCCTCGTCCTGGCTGCCCTGCCTGCTGCTGCCCCCCTTCTTCTTCGCCTCGGCCATTTTTAAGCCGACTGCCCCGGCCCGGACCCCTCAATTTTCCCCCTACTTGATTTGATACCTATATTACAGTATACTACTGCCTAGAGGGAAGTGAACCCACCGCACTTCCCCGACCCAAGCGAAGGTGAGAGAGGGTGGAAAAGTTGGAAAATCGCGAAAATTGGATTTTCAGAATTTTTTGGGGACTTTTTCGCGGTTTTGGATAACATTTAAAAATCGGAATAATTTGAATGTTATTTTTGAGCTGTTCCTCTTGTAATTTCGGTAGAGTTTAAGGTGGAAATTACGTGAAGTTTGTAAAATGCGAATTTTTACACAAAAGTGAGATCTTATCAACTCTCAGGTATTTCAAGAATGTTTTTGTTTGGAATTAACATATATTCTAGCGTTTTTTTATACTTTAAATCGAGTAATTCGAAGCGCTTGTCTAATTTGGATTGCATCGATTAATCGAATTTTTACAAAAATATGGATTTTAATAAAGTTTCCGGCTTAATTTCGATGCTAATCAGTTGAGTCTATGTAATGATTAATTGAACTCTATGTAAAGTTTGAAGTGCTAAAACGACAAAAAATCTACTTTTTTGGGTTTAGCTTTGTTTAGCTATTTCAGGCACGAATTATCGATTTTTCTTGAAGGTTACTATACAAGATCTTGTCGTTTTTCACTATTAAGCTTATTTTCCTATGTCATGCTCCTTTTTTGCTATTGATCGGGGCGGCACCCGGTCAGAACCTGGGTCGTCAGCGCGGACACGATTTATTGCCGCGCCGCGCCTATTTTTGGTGTCGCCCCGGAAAATCGAATCCCCTTACCCCCACCCGGATCATGTGACTTTTGCAGTTCGCGTTACTGTATGCAGTACGTGTTGTAAGATGTACAGAGTAGTGAGAAGTAGTAGTCTGATACCCGGGAGGAGGAAGTAACTTTTAAATAGGTCGGGAAAGTCGAAAAAAGCTAACCTGCTGGCGATATCGGTGCATTAATGATTTTGTTTATGGGATTTTGAGCTTTAGCGATGCTTTAAAGAGATAGAGGCTAGATTTTTTTTGGAGAATCGATAAAAGTTATGGAGAAAAGAGAGCCAATTCAAAACTCCAGGAATTTTAAGCAGTGATGACATACACTCTGCAAAATGTTGACACTTTTTCTGACCTGTTTTTCTAATTTTTGAGATCTTGAATTCGGGGAGTATCTACGAAAATTATGAATTTTGCGTTTTTTCAAGGATAACGCCAGTTGCATTTTTGAGAAAATCTTTAAGAAACGCAAGAAGTGGGAGCCAGGGTTACATTCATAGCTTACCTAAAGCCGTTAGCTCGCTGACACCATCCCTTCAAACGTTTTCGAAGTATTTTTGCGAACTTCCACCGAATTAAATTTTCCAACTGTTTGTTCCTTAATGAAACCTGTATCTCCAGCCCCATCTACCGTATTTTCACCCTATCCCATCCGCCTGGGTTGTCACTTGGTAGGGGTAGTGAAATCGTTGGTGTTGTCGCCACACTAGGCCCAGAGTCCATGCTATGCCATCCGAGGGGTAGAAGGGGGAAGAGACATACACACATCACGTGTGTGTCCGCAGATTCCCGGCAAAGAAGCGACCCGCAACTACCCACCCTCACACACCCGCTACGTGTCGATACCCACAAACGTCTTCCGACGACTTCTTTTCGGGTCTTCCCGCAGAGCATTCGGACAGCCATTCGTGCACCGCACCGGGCGGCGTTACACTTATTCATTCTTAAGGAATCGTACTTACAGACAACGACTTAAGAAATGGCGTGTATGCAAAAAGAAGTCTAAACTAGTCAATCTTTTAAGAGTCTGAAGTCTGAAGGCTTATACCACCTTAAGTAAATTATCATCGCGAAATTATTTTAAGTTAAACGCTTAGAATGCTTACATATTAAAACATAGCTTCGTGATGCCTCCAAAAATAACCTTAAATTCCGTCAAGAAACGGATTTACGAATGAAACGTACGTTACGTTAAGTAGCATCTCTAAAAATCAATCCAATACCTCTCAATCGATTTTTTCCAGATTTCCGGCCGTCGTCCGCCCGCCGTGGAGCTGCTCGAGGGGCTCGCTGGGAGTGAGGGCGACCTCTCCGGGCCACCGCTCGCCAAGAAGTTGAGGTACGGTAGAGTTTTGACATACATGGTTCAAGAGCGTAGTTGCTGTTTATAAAAAGTTTTTAATGTGGTAATATATACACTTCACGGGGGTTTTGAGCGAGTATTTTTAATTCCGGCCTTAAAAACCCGAAGACCATTTATATAGACTGTTAATGAGTGTAAGTAGGAGTCAGACGTATTTTTTCATCATTAAAGTAGTAGATACGTGGCGTTATAGCGCGCTGCTCCTTTAGAGAGCCATACCCGCGTCATAAACTTTTAATGAGCGCCAACAGACGGGGAAGCGTAGTAAAAATTTAGCTTTTTGAGTTTTTTGAACTTTTAAAGCTCCGAAAATCTAGATTAAACTTTCTAAAAATGCTAATTATATCCAGAAGCCTTCCTTTTAATCTGACCCACTTCAAGGCCCATAAACCGTACCGGTACCCCCTAATCTAGGGGTCGATAGGCGTCACGCGGATTTTCCACCAGCCCCTTCCCACACCGGTGCTGGCTGGCTCAGCTGACCGGGTTGTGTCTATCTGCTCGTCTTCTTCGCCTCCCCTTTTCGTATGTGTGTGTTGCTCGTCATTTCTCTCTCTCTCTCTCGCTCTCCTGGCACTCCCTCTCTCTCCCGATTTCGCTCTCTCCCGCAACCCTCCACCCAGACCTGCCACACCATCGATTTCCCATCGAAAATATTGCCGGGGCTAACCGGAGGATGCGGGTTGTTTGTTTGGGTTATGGAGGTGGTAATTAGGCATTGTCTCGGTAGTTCTGTAGTTTGGAGTCTAAAAATATCGGAAATCTATCTGATTACGTCATGCAAATCGTAGACGTGATTTTTTTACGCTTTTTAATGGATTTCTATGTATTTTTTCTAACATTTTGGAATATTTTTCGTATCCAAACAAATTTATATCATGCGCCCGATCTGTATTTTGCATAAAAAGCGAATAAAAACAAAAAAACTAGATTTTTACGATTCTAATAGAATTTTTATCGCGTTTACCACAAATTTTCATGATTTTTGATGAGTCTGCATCTAAAAGATTGGAATATTGGGATACGGAAACGAGATAGCGCTGCATTCACAGATAAAATAGAAGCTAAAAACCAACAATTCCACGCTGATGACATTCGATTTGTTTACCGCATCCCCAGTCGAGAGCTTTAGTGCTGCCCCCTCGGGGTCCTCCCAGATATTTTTGCCCTCTTTGTCTTTCTCTGCTTCCTCCCTCTCTCTCTCTCTCTCTCTCTCTCTCTCTCTCTCTCGCTCTCTCTCCCTTTCTCTAGCTCCCGTGTTCGCCTCACCGCAGGGCTGAAAAATAGCCGCACAAGCCGCACACAAATAAGCCACACCACCGCCGTCCGCCTGGTCACGCGCTTTTTTGGGCTGGTCGAATTGGCATGGGACATTTTGGGGGTTTAGAATAGCTTTTGCCATCTTATGCCGTGCTGAAAACTTCGCTATAAAAATATAGAAACACCAAATGTACTTGAAATTCGATCTTTGCGAGTTAATTTCCGAAAAAACTTGTTGTTACAAAACTAAATAAATTGTTTAACCTTAAAAATTTTTTTTATGTGGCATGGCGCCAGTTTTATGCATATTTTTGTATATTTTTATATAGCAAAGTTAACTTATGTTGCCGTATTCCTAGCGAGTCTAATTTTATATTTTTTGATTTTTGCGAATACGACGGAATTCCGGGCTTAAGGTAAAAAATGGATAATTTTCCTTCAGAAATTTTAACAGCTTGTTTTCTACGTTTTCAACTACCGCTTTTTACATTTTACTGGCTACTCTTACTGCTTTTTATGGGTAATCAATTTTTTCTCCCTTTTTCTACGTGCCCTCCTCGGCCCCGGGGGCTGCACTTTTGCTTCGCGTGACCAAGAGCGGGGTAGTTCTCACTTCCCACTTCCATAAAAGATTTGTGAGAATCAATTTCGTGCTGGTTTTATTGGTTTTTAACCTTGGTTGTAGTAAAATTCATATTTCCTAGTTTTCAACATGCTTAGAACAATAATGACTTTCTCGACAATAATGTCAATTTTTTGAGGGTTTACCACTTGTAAAATCGAGGTTTTGGTCTTATAAATTACGCTATTGAAATTTACGATACATATAATGTTTTCTAAACGCCTGAAATTGTTTAGTTTCTGTATTTCCAGAATGCAATGCACGCTGAGCCCGCCACCCGGCGGCGCCCGCACCGTGGCCCAGCGGCTGAAGGAGTCATCCTTGAAGGTACTATCTTTTGCTATTTTTATCTTTAAAAACCTGAATTCTAAGGTTTTTGACACTTAAAACAAACTAAGAGCAAAAACTATTAGTATGCGTGCAGTTTCAAGTTATATTTTCTAGGAATCCCCCTCCGGGTCGACCCCGTCCACCTCTGACGGCCGAAATGGCCAGTCAAAACCACATCCAGCTCTTAATCGGCGTCAACAGAATACGATCCGATTGATCGCACAGTATCTCCGGGATTTGGGACTACAGTAAGACCAGAAAGAAAGGGCGTAATCTAATTTTCTCCCCGATAGTGAGTCCGTGGAGTCGCTGGTCGAAGAGAGCGGGTGCAAGGTGGAGAACGCGAGGGCCGTGCGACTACGAGAGGCTGTAAGTCGGAGTGTAATGGAATAATAGGGGTAATTAAAGTTACGCTTTAAAAATAAAATTAGTATAGAAAACGTTTTTGATTTAACATTAGCATTTTATCCAAATTCCAGGTCTAATCGCTTTCGACATAGAAAAGCTCGAATCCGTTATGATATGAAAACACGCTTTAGCGACCCACGAAATAAAATAAGAACAAACTGGTTACGATAGGAATATCGAGTGTAATCACTTACTACATAAAAAACTAATCGATTGGGAAATGAAAATCTGGTCTAATCGTTTACGACACTAAACGGATCTAACCGGTTACGGTAGGTAGGCATGGCACATCGTGTCGGTTACGGCATAAAAATACGCTATAATCATTGGCAATTATCACAACTATTAAATAAAGGAATATTATACTTATTCAGTGTTTTTCAGATAATGCGCGGCCACTGGAACGAGGCGCTGTCCGTACTTGAGAAGTCCTACCAATTCCTGAGTCCCCACGAGCTCGAAACGGCCAAGCTAATCATACTCGAGGAGAAGTTCTTCGAGTTGCTTAGCAAGGGAGAGGTGGGGTTTCGGAATAAAAATTCTATGTTGTTTTAGAACACATTGGCTATGAAACTGATGCGGGAGGAGTACCCGAATAAACGCTCGCTGAGGACGAGACGAACCGAACTTGTCGGGATGCTCTTTGCTGATGCAAATGAGCTGGGCAAGCACCCGGAGATCAAGAAGTTTGAGTGGGTTTTAGAGATTGCCTATATCGATGATTTAAAATACATAAAAAGCTCTAAAGGGACTGGGAGGATAAAATTTTGCCGGCATTCCATGTCATTTTCTAGGGTTCACCCCACTTTCTAAGTAGATGACGTCAGATTGGAGTTGATATGAAACAGGAATCTGTTAAAAAAAGATCCATCCACCATCAAATTATGATGTTTAGCTCCAGAGACGCACATTGGCGTCGTCGCCTCGCCATACGGGTCCAAAAACAGCTCGACCCGGCCTACATGTTGCCCTGCAAGCGATTGGAGCAGCTGACGGATCAAGGTAAGTCTTGCTTATAGACAGAGGTGACTCAAATTTCGACATCAAAAATTTAGAAAATTTAGCAAGCTTTTTAATTTCTGTATTTTTAGCCTTCAAATACCAAGTCGGAAAGTGTCGGCTCCACTTCGATGGTGATCATGTAAAGATGGCTGACGATTCGATTTTCCGGAATCATGACTGCACCGAGGCCAATAAGCCGTTGTTTAAGGCGCATCAGGTTGGTGAAAAATATTCGTTTGGAGCTTTCAGAGGCTCGGAAGACTAAGCTTTTTATTTGGTTCCAAAAATTGCTCAAAATCCACAATTTTCCTAAAAAATAAAGTTTTGATTCGAGCAAAGGCTATCCTGTAGATTATGCAAATTACGGGTTCCAGATCTTGAAAAAACACACCAGCGAGATCTACGTAGTCGAATTTTCGCCCGACGGCAGCAAGGTGGCCAGCGGGTCGAAGAATGGAGAAGTTATCATCTGGCAGGTTGGTTTTTATAGAGATTCGCTCTCGTTCTCGCGCGCGCGCTCTCCCTCTCTCTCTCTCTCTCTCTCTCTCTCTCTCTCTCTCTCTCTAATTCCTGATTTCCAGGTGGATCAACGCTCCAGAAAACTCGGCGATCCCGTGCTAATCCGCCACAACATGGACCTACATGCGGATGATGATCTAGACCGTACTGCGGCTTCAGACGTCTTCTGCATCTCCTGGAGTCACGATAGCCGATTTGTGGCGGTCAATGGACAAGACAGAAATAGAGATGGAGATGTAAGAAATTTACCTCATTTTTAGGGTGGAAGCTCAGACGCCGGGTGCCAACTAGCAGAGATTCTTTGAGGACATTGACTACAGATGTGCCGATATCTAATTTTTTTACAGGCCTGGGTCTACTGCACCGACAACAATTGCCTGCCGTTCCGGAAGATCCGGGGTTCGCCTTCTCAGAACTGTCCGCCCTACACCGCGCTGGCTTTTACGAAGAACGGGAAACATCAGATCATAGCAGGGAATAGACATGGCCAGCTGCACTTTTTGGTGGGTTTTCGTGCGTTTGAAGGCCTTGGAATAGATCAGATTCGGTTTCCGGAAGCACGCTGGAAACGTTAGGGGATGTCCGGAAATTACGGTACTTTCCAGAGACGAGCAAGGGTTCCTGAAAGCCTGCGATACTTGCCGGAAACGTAAACTTAGAATCTTAAACTGGCCAGATGCATCTGGAAAATAACGATCTTCTGATAGATATCGGAAACCCTCCGAAATCTGCCGGAAATCAGCAGGAAATGACCGGAATCGCCGGAAAAAGTTTCGCAAAAACTTTAAAGCCATGTTGCCAGCAACTAATGAAACTTTCCGGAATCAAATTAAGGTTTCAAGAAGCTAAATAATTTCCGAAAAATCGCTAGAACCTCAGAAAGCGTAGCGGAACGTAACTAAATCCTCTAAAACTAGCCTAGACTCCTAAAAATCACTCATTTTCAGGACCTCTCACTCCCCGAAATGGGCCAATGTGTCTGGGTGAACGACGGGATCAGAATAAACTGGATTCACACGCTACGGGACAGCGTTGAGTCCCTGTTGGCGGATTGCCAGAACAAGATCCGGCAGTTTGACTTCCACACCCGACAAATGAAGGTGCTCATCACCGAGGAGTCGGCGATATTGAGCATTGCGGTTCATGCTAATGAGAGGTGCGTTTTGAACGATTTTCAAGTAGAAAAATATACTTTTAGATACGCTCTACTTGCCACGCAATCCAACGGCCTCCGATTGTGGGACCTGCACACCAGTACGTTGATGCGCAGCTTCGTTGGCGCCGATTACGGCCGGAAAATTGTGCAGCCAAGCTGGGGTGGCCCTGGAGATGCGTATTTTAGCTGTGGAGCGCAAGGTGAGAACGAGCGAGAGCGGGAGGGTGAGAGAGGGAGAGAGCGAATGCGAGAGAGAGACCAACTTCAACATTTCCTTTCAGATGGCACCCTCTCCATGTGGAGCGCCGACTCGGCCAAGCCGGTCGCGAAGCTTGACGATATCCATCGAGGCGTCGTCAACTCGGTACGATGGAGTCCGTGCGATACCGCGATGATGATCAGCGTTGGGGATGACAAGCATGTAAGTATCGTGTCGTATCTTAACGTGCCGGGATGTACCACACCCTAGCCAAGAGGTACGGTATGTACCACGACGTAGCCTAGCGTAATTTGCGCACGGTGACGTACAGTAACGTAGCGTATGACACCGCAACGTAACACTGCCATACCAAAGTGTACTTACGCTGCGGGATAGTTGCAATTACAAGTATTACTTTTACAGCTCCGCGTCTTCACCGCCAACCTCATCCACTGCGCCGACAGCCGCCGCGCACGGCCGCAACGCGCCGCCCACCTCAGCGCCAACGGCGTCGGCGGCCACCGCTCAACACCGATACCTCAACTCGACTCGGGTCATAAGAAAAAGGTGGGTTTTGCGTTTTTTGATTTATTCTTCTTAAAAAATTGTTTTAGCGTTTCAGACACATCTTAATTTTTTTGGTACGGTCAGGGCAGGCTAACAATGGTTTTTGAGGAATTCAGCTCCCTAAAGCGCCGAAGATAGCAGATCTAGCAGCAAATTTCTAGCTAGAAAACTTTCGTTTTAGGCTCCCGGTTCGCCGATCAGAGCAAAAAGCACGTAGGGCGCTGCGCGCACGCGCCGCGCGGGTGCCTATCGTCGCCTTGGGCGTGATACGGTTTTCAGGTGCCAAAAATGGCAAGAATCGGGTGAAAAATGATGATTTTTAGCCGGTCAACCAGCTCGACTACCTCCGTCTTCAAGCCGTCGCCCGGGCGCGCGGCTTGATCTTCTCCAACCCAGGATATGCCATTTAAATTGAGGGTGCCAGTTCACTCTCTCTCTCTCTCTCTCTCTCTCCTCTCTCTCTCTCCCTCTGCCCAGTGCTCAGGTTATAATCAACTTATGTAATTCACCTCCACACCTCCTTTTCCCAGTGTACATAGGCGCGTCGTGTAGTAGTTGTACATAGCTATATTTTGGTATTGCCTTTTGCATTTTCTATTTTGAAGGTATTTTTTGATACCTTACACCCACATCGCCTTGTCCCCCACCTCGACTATGGTATTGCGGTCTGTGCTTTCTAAACATTGCCCTAGCCCCACACACCAAATATTGCCTATTTCTTAATTTACTCTTTGGTTTTCATGCCTGCCGCTTCTTCTTGAAAGTCTAAGCCTAAGCCTAAGCCTAAGCCTGAGTCTAAGCCTAGGCCAAGCCTAACAAGGAGTCGTTTTTAGGTGCATTTGGAGTTTCTGGACGGGACCTAGCTAGTTCGATAGAGAAAAAAATTCTGATCAACATCCCGTTTTCAAAAAGTGCTGATCGATAAAGCTGTTTTAGAAAATTTAATTTAATTAAAAATGTTCCCGGTGTCAGGACCCTTGTGGTGATTTGAGGTTATTTGCGGCGGTCGATCGCCCCCGCCACATGAGGACGTCACGCGCATGGGATCTCGTCCTGGGCATGGCCAAGTGGCTAGTGCGTTGGCCTACGAATTTATTTTTGACCTTTTACCACAAGTTCGATTCTTATTTATCGTTAACTCTTTGCTTTTTTGCTAATTAAAATTTTATGCAACGATAACGGGCTCAAGAACCAAAAAGCAAAGGGTTAGCGAGCGCGAAGATTCGAACCCGAGGCAAAAATATGTTAAAAAGTTGGTAGGCAAGCGCGCTACCAATACGCCAATGCAACCTGTGATGGAGGCATTGGCGGAGGGTTACGAATGGCGCCCTGCCCAGTAGTGTTGGACAGCACCCCAAAGAGAGCACCCCGGGGTGCTTTTCACCCCAGGGTGCTTTATTTTCACCCCGGGTGCTCTAAAAAGCACCCGGGGTGCTCGAAACTCACCGGGGTGCCCCGAAAAGCACCCCGGGGTGGAAATAAGCACCCGGCCGAGAGAGGGTGCTCTGAAAGGCACCCCGCCCCCAGTGGGGTGCTCAGAAGCACCCCAACCCCCCTTGGGGTGCCTTAGAAAGCACCCCGGGGTGCTTTCGGAAGCACCCCAGGGGTGCCTTTTGGGGTGCTCTGTGGCGTGCTGTCTGGGGTGCTTTTTGGCAATGACCGCAATATATCAACTAGGCTATTTTGATCGAATCAGAGATGAACATAATTTTCGAGCAGTTCCGCACAACTCGGCGCCAATTCGATTGCAACTCATTTGGGGGTCGTTTGGTAGCATTTATTCGAGGTTGTTGAACACGGCGGATGATTTCGAGACGTTCGCGATTTTAGTGCCGAAAGGTGTACTTGTCGAAGTTGTCGCCGCACTAAAACCATCATATCTCGCTTTGCACTGCGAATCCTGGATCGCGAAGGGCACCATTCGAAAGAGCGCGAAAAGTTCTATCTGCCCAACGAGTTTTAGCTCTCGAGCAGCTTTGCCCAGGCTGCTAGCGCGGTTAGAAAAAAACGTCTCGAAATCATCCGCCGTGTTCAACAACCTCGAAGAAATGCTACCAAACGACCCCCAAATGAGTTGCAATCGAATTGGCGCCGAGTTGTGCGAACTGCTCGAAAATGATGTTCATCTCCTGATTCGATCAAAATAGCCTAGTTGATATATTGCGGTCATTGGCAAAAAGCACCCCAGACAGCACCCCACAGAGCACCCCAAAAGGCACCCTGGGGTGCTTCCGAAAGCACCCGGGGTGCTTTCTAAGGCACCCCAAGGGGGGCTGGGGTGCTTTCTGGAGCACCCCACTGGGGGGCGGGGTGCTTTCCAGAGCACCCCTCTCGGCCGGGGTGCTTTTATTTCCACCCCGGGGTGCTTTCGGGGCACCCCGGGTGGTTTAGCACCCTGGGTGCTTTTTAGAGCACCCCGGGGTGAAAATAAAAGCACCCCGGGGTGGGAAAAAAAGCACCCCGGGGTGCTCTCTTTGGGGTGCTGTCCAACACTACTGCCCAGCCCCGAAAACGACGTGCACCGAGGAAATGGACCCGAAAACTAGAAAAAAGCGCGAACTTTAAATTAAATTTTCTAAAACAGCTTTATCGATCAGCACTTTTTGAAAACGGTATGTTGCTCAGAATTTTTTTCTCTATCGAACTAGCTCAGTCCCGTCCCGAAACTCCAAAAGCACCTAAAAGCGACTCCTTGTAAGCTTAAGCCGAAGCCTAAGCCTAATCCCTCATCTTCTTTTGCTTTTTCTGCAACTCGAATTCTCGTGCTTGTGATCGAATCGATGGTATGCCCTGGTCATAAAAAAATAAAGGAATTTTGATGGAATTTTATGGATTGCAGAAAGCTGAACAAAAACATAGTGATTACACCAAAATCTAAAATACAATTTATTCATATAAAATAGGAAATAAAGGGGCAGGGTACCTTAGCTAGGTATCGTACGCCCAGAGTTGCGCCCGAAAATGTGCGATTTCTGTTAATCAGGTGTGTGGTGATTTTTCTTTGTTTCTATTAACTTCAGAAAATTTTAAACGAGTTTAATAAAAAAATATAAACCTCACTAAAAATCCTGACGACGCCTGAATTCACAGATTGCACTTTTTTTCTCTCGTTTCTTGCCTGTCAAAACTGTCATTTTGCTGGTCATCACTGATAAGGGAGTGCAGAAAACTGGCTTAAGGGTATAAGATTTTTTACGTCGTATTCCCTCTCACATATCTTTTATTATTTTGTAAATATGATGATTGTGCGTTTTTTTCAGGTCTCCGCCTCAACATGGGCGATTTTTCCAAAATATCGGGTTCATGAAGAAACCCCCGTCCTTTTCATGGAAAGAGCGCAACTTGTTTCGATTTCTACGACTGTTGAAATGGAACTATGAATTTGGCTTCCGTATTTGAACTATAGCTTAATTCAAGCTTTACACACCAGGTAATGAAAAACCTTATCGTAATGCAGAAACCATACGTAACCTGCTTCGATTTTTACAATCGATTAAAATGGAAATGGAGTTTTTAGGTATGGTTTTCAATTTTGTCTTTATTTCAATTTTGTTAGTGCACGCTCAAAATATAAGAATTGGCCATGGAATTCCAAATTAGAGTGTTTATATACAGGGTGTATCAAAAAAAAGTTCCGAAGTTTGTCCCCAATTATCTCGAGAAGGAAATATATTTCACCGTGCGTTACCATGCCAGAATGCTTAAATATGCTGGGTATGAAGATTTAACACAACTTGATTTTTTCGATTTTTGGCGACGTATCAATACAAATGACACCCGAAAAATGTGCGTTCCGGCAAAACTTCGTTTGCACTTTTTTTGGATTGCTGGTGGTCGAACACTTCCAATTTTTACAGTGTAGGTACCTAAGGATCGCCACTACGCAGATCCGGAATTTTGGAATTTTCGAAGGTCTGGTTGGCAAGTTATAGCGTGCTGAAATTTAATATGGAAAAATTTCGTAAATTTCGAATATTACAAAAACCTATGGTGGAGACCTCAAAATAAGCTGTTTTAGCATGTCTATGGGTTCGATACAATCGCACAAAAACATCAAAGAATTTTTTCAGATCCAAAAATTTTTGAATTTTTCGACGACCCCCTGGTCATGGATTCTTTCGAGGTCTCGAAACTGAACTTTGAAAAAATATTCCTAAAGTTCCGAATAGAACCTAGGTGTTTTCTTTGCTTGGTTGTGTAGGACTGGGGTCCATCTATCATGTAGACAATTTCTAGCTACCGTACCCCTTTGGAAGGTTGCCTTTTAGCGCCTCCAAAACGCTTGGTTCGTGCTATTTCGCAGATTTTGGTGCCAGTCTATAAAATTCATTTGCGCGACTAGAATTATTGTCATAATTGTATTTAATACTACTTAATGGGCGCGTTCTAAAATTCTATTTACAAATTTATTGGGCCATGCAATCTCTCAAAAGAAATTCATGAAGAGCCCAAATATACCCGAATTCGAGGCGACGTAAAAAAATTCTCGAAGCTCAAGTAGCCCCGACTTTTCTGGGATAGACCAAGCTTGGATAGTCAACTAAAACCCATGCAAATACAAAACCTTTTCATGGCAAACGAATTTAGAAGAGCGCCCCAAAGTCGACTTTTCAAAAACGTTATTTTCGGGTTTTAAATCAAAATTAACCATTAACTTCAGTCAGATCATTCCAGAATTTTGCTCTCATACACAATTCGATGCGTGCTTTAATTGTATCCACGAAAATCCGGTGCCTTTTTCATTTTCAAAAATTCGCTTTTCGAGCCAGGGCGTCGGGTCCAAAATCGGGCCCCAGGGTGGGTTTTCCTCTTTCCCTCATAACTTTGTCATTTGCCACAGGAATCAAGTAATTTTTTGTAGGTTCTCTTACAATCACCCAGAGAACACTATAGAATGGAAAAATTGGCATTTTATGGCATTTTGTCTTGGCATGCTAAAACGCGCTCTAGGCGGGTTACTGTAGAAAACAGAAAATCGCCGTTTTCTCGTTCTTTTCACCATAAAAAAGTTTCGATCTTTCAGGAAAACAAATAATAGTAGTTTTTAGTCCGATGCATCAAATATTTAGAAATTTGCGTGGCTAAATTCAAAAATTAGTTTTTTTGCATATTTTGGGAAGGTATATGGCTAGAACTCCACGATCTTTGGCCAATAGGTGACCCTTACTGATGTTTACCAGTGATAAAATTTTTAGCGAAATCGAAGCTTACAATAAAAAGAAAAAGGCGAAAAACGAAAACTACAGTATCCCTCTGGGGCACGTTTTAGCAAGCAATATTAAAATACCATAGAATCAGGTAAAATTTGGTGTTGTGCTAAAGATTATCATTCGGAGACACCATCTGCAAAAGTTCAGCCATGGGCAGCGAATTTGAAGCGAGTTGCTAATTAAAAAGTAATAATAGGCAAGATAGGGAAATTTGTTTTGCCTGTAAAAAAAAAACTAAACCTTCAAATATTTTAAGACTTTGCTATTATTTTTCTACAAATGTCAACTATTTATAGGCCAAAAACCAGAATTTTCCCACCACCGGTTCAAGAACGCACATTTTTCGGTCGTAACCAGCGTCAAGAGTACAGTTGCGTACTCAAAAATCGAAAAAATCAAGTTGTGTTAAATCTTCATACCCAGCATATTTAAGCATTCTGGCATGGTAACGCACGGTGAAATATTTTTCCTTCTCGAGATAATTGGGGACAAACTTCGGAACTTTTTTTTGATACACCCTGTAGGGCCCGGGCTTCGCCAGGTTTACGGACATAATCTAAAGGTATGAACCACCCACCTCGTAACTTGACTATGAGGGAAAAGAAAACCCTGGATGCACGGAACGCACGTGGCCGATCTCATCCTGCCGCATAAAACCATTTGAATTAATAGATATTCAAAGGTGGGTTAAAAATAAAAAAGCAGACAACATTTTTTAACCCGTTATTTGCGCCATTTGGTCCCAAAAATATTGCCTAATCCGTTCCGCCACAAAATGATCCAGAATGACTTTAGATGTTGGGTGAAGGACACTTTCTGGAGTGGCTATTATGGCCCGGCACATGGCGCTGAGAAAACATGAAATTTAGAAAATAGTCACCATGGCGATTTTGAAAGTGTTCAGCGCAAGGTATCATTTTTGAAAACGCCAATTTTTGGAAATATGGTCTCTGATTAAGATTTAATAACTATCAACCTGTCCGTACGGCAAGCTGTCGGGGTTAATGAGGTGATCCGCATTTTAAAATACTGATTATAATTTTACGACTGATTAAAATGGAAATGGAGTTTTTTTGAGGTAAGTTTTTTAATTACTTTTACTTCTAATTTTGTTAGTACATGGTCAAAAAATAACAATTTGGCATGAACTAACGAATTAGAATGCTTATCTAGCGCAAGGGCATCGTTCTGGCGATAATATATATTCAAGGCTGGGCTAAAAAGAAAAAACAGGTTTCTTTTGAACAAAGGAATTTTTGTCCCGTTTTGTCTCAAAAATCTATCTAATGAGTCTACCGCAGAATATAGTTTCATCTCTTGAGAGAAGGGACCTTTACTTCTCGGACAAATTGCGGTGTGGCAAAAAAGATGAGAATAGTCGACATGCCGATTTTGAAAGCGCTGATCGTAAAGTATCATTTTTTTTTAAATAAAACTAATTCTCCTGAAATTGTTTTCCCTTCTCCTTTTCTATTTATTTTTCCAGCGTAAGGAATCATTGTAAAATTACGCTAGCTATCCAAAAGCCCATTTTCTACCAAATATCGAAGATTTCCTAAGGTGTGCATAAGGCAACATGTCGGGCCGATGAGGGACACCCGTACCTTGATCAATAGAGCACAACATGCTATGACTTCATGGACAAATGATGGTTACGCAATTAAATTGTATACCCGTACAGCTTACTTTAAAGTTGAACCATTTAGGCCGCTCTATCAATGAAAAAGCATGATAACCGACGCAAATACTGACGTAAAGGGCACGGGTACGGCAGCTTAAGAATCTGAAAATAAATGCCACAATACGGAGGAATCGCGGAACGACTCGATGCTCCCCGCGGATTCGTAAGCCATTTTTTGATTTTTTTTTTTTTCACAAAAAGATATGCATTTAAAGGGTATCTAGCATTAATACTGTCGATAAGCAATAAAAATTGATTAAAAGGGGGCTTAGAACAAAACATGAAAAACGATGATGACTTTAGGCTATCGCCACAAGTCGTCTTCGCAGGCATCTTGGGGAAAATAATCTGAATTAATAAACGATCGATGAGCAAGAAAACTTGGAATAAAAAAACAAAGTTTGGTGCTCCACCCAAGCTTGAGCTTGAGCCGGCGCAATATCAAATCTTGCTACAAACCTCTTTGAGTTGGAAGCCCATTCCTAACGACGCGCCTCAAAATTGGAAGCGAAGTTTTTATGCGTTCGTTGAATACACAACTACTAATTTTGAAGCTGTTGCAATCAAAGAAATAGTGAGTTATTTTATTTAATTCTAGCACGAAAATAAGATTTGCGATAATGTTAAAATCATAATGTAGGAATTTCATAATTTTGATTGCAGTTGAGAATTTTTGCTTAGAATTTAGAGCTTATTAGAGTTTTTTGCGGGTGGTTTGCTTATGAAAAAAATTATAAAACATAAGTTAAGAAATTTCGACATTCTGAAGCTTCGGCGATATGATTTTCGCTATTACGAAATTTGAAAGTAAACGGGCAACGAATACATTAGCAACAAAATGAATAGTGCTTTAGATAATAAAATGGAAACGCTCTCAAATCAATATTACGCTGAATTGCGCTTTAACCCGCGTCCCATTCGGAACCCTGGGCTAAATGATCAACCACCAAGTGACGAAGGATGTAATTGATAGAAAAAATACGCCTGTGATGAATTATTGATGATGAATGATGACCATGATGTGCTAATGAAGATACCGGAGGAATATTTGACTCTTGCCACAAACGGATTTGGGGAGCAGCTGAGGCGCAGCGACGGGTAGGCAGCAGACCACCCAGTGACGTTGTAAAGTATACCAAAATACTCATCAGGGCCAGAAGAACATTTTGGTATACGTTACACTCATGTAGACGAATGGGGAGTCGAGATACAAGCGCTGGGGGCACGCCGGTGTGGCTAGAATAAACCAAAAAATCCGCAAAATGCCAGAAAATAACGATTTTGGTTTAGGAGTCAAGCGGAACGTCGACCACCCAATAAAGGTCGTCAACAAAGGTCGTCAAGTATTTGCCTCGCTCACTGACAACGTTATCAGCTCCTGGGAAGGTTGGGAGCGGCGGTCATTACAACCTATTTTCGCGTCACCAGAATGGTTAAAATGGATTTGAAATGGAAGGAAAAAAGGCGTCTGTAAGTTCCTTCTGCCTTTTTCTTGGCGATGTGAAGCATTTTTCCAGCGAAATTCTAGGCTAGTAATTTGGAAAGGGCCACAAAATAAGTTTTAAACCGAAAGCAACATGTTGTCTCTGTATCTCGGCTCCGCATTGTGCAATGTGGATGTGAACTATACCAAAATACTCCTCAGACAAAGACAAACATTTTGGTATACATTACGCTCCTGTAGCTACCGTGGTAGCGGAGATACTAGCCTTCGAAGCCAACCGGCGGGTAGTGTTGGACAGCACCCCAAAGAGCACCCGGGTGCTTACCCACCCCGGGTGCTTTTATTTTCACCCCGGGTGCTCTAAAAAGCACCCCGGGGTGCTGAACCACCCCGGGGTGCCCTGGAAGCACCCCCGGGGTGGAAATAAAGCACCCCCGGCCGAGAGAGGGGTGCTCTGGAAAGCACCCCGCCCCCCAGTGGGGTGCTCCAGAAAGCACCCCAACCCCCCTTGGGGTGCCTTAGAAAGCACCCCGGGGTGCTTTCGGAAGCCTCCGGGGTGCCTTTTGGGGTGCTCTGTGGCGTGCTGTCTGGGGTGCTTTTTGCCAATGACCGCAATATATCAACTAGGCTATTTTGATCGAATCAGGAGATGAACATAATTTTCGAGCAGTTCGCACAACTCGGCGCCAATTCGATTGCAACTCATTTGGGGGTCGTTTGGTAGCATTTATTCGAGGTTGTTGGACCGGCGGATGATTTCGAGACGTTTTTTTCTAACCGCGCTAGCAGCCTGAAGAAGCTTGATAGAATTGCTTTAAGCCATTGAGAAGGTTGCATTTTGAATGCTCTTTCCAACGGTAAACTTGCCGTTCTCCAAAATCGTCGGGGGACAGAGAGGGAGCGTTTAGTGCCGAAAGGTGTACTTGTCGAAGTTGTCGCCGCACTAAAACCATCATATCTCGCTTTGCACTGCGAATCCTGGATCGCGAAGGGCACCATTCGAAAGAGCGCGAAAAGTTCTATCTGCCCAACGAGTTTTAGCTCTCGAGCAGCTTTGCCCAGGCTGCTAGCGCGGTTAGAAAAAAACGTCTCGAAATCATCCGTCGTGTTCAACAACCTCGAAGAAATGCTACCAACGACCCCCCCAAATGAGTTGCAATCGAATTGGCGCCGGGTTGTGCGAACTGCTCGAAAATGATGTTCATCTCCTGATTCGATCAAAATAGCCTAGTTGATATATTGCGGTCATTGGCAAAAGCACCCCAGACAGCACCCCACAGAGCACCCCAAAGGGCACCCCTGGGGTGCTCTGAAGCACCCGGGTGCTCAAAGGCACCCAAGGGGGGCTGGGGTGCTTTCTGGAGCACCCACTGGGGCGGGGTGCTTTCCAGAGCACCCCTCTCGGCCGGGGTGCTTTTATTTCCACCCCGGGGTGCTTTCGGGGCACCCTGGGTGGTTTTGAGGACCCCGGGGTGCTTTTAGAGCACCCCGGGGTGAAATAAAAGACCCCGGGGTGGGAAAGCACCCCGGGGTGCTCTCTTTGGGGTGCTGTCCAACACTACCGGCGGGGGCTAAGCAAAATCAAAAAAATCCGCAAAATGCCAAATAATAACGATTTTGGTTTAGGAGTCACGCGGAACGTCGACCACCCAGTCGAGCTAATAAACAAAGATCGTTGGTCATTCGCTTCGCTAACTGAGCAAGTTTGAAAAACAACCTGGAAGAACTTGCCGACGCGGTCATTACAATCTTTTTCGTGTTGCCAGAATGGGTGAAATGGATTTGAAATGGAATCAAAGCATCTGTACGTCCTTTGCGTTCTTGTATATATTTTGGAGCTTGAGCATTTTACATAGCAAATCTAGCATAAAAAAGTTACAAATGCATCAGAAATGATATCCTAACGAATTTTAGCCAAGTGGCGATCTCGATTGCTTTTTTTGAGCTTTGATCGAAAAGTTATAAACGAGCATCAGCGAAGATAATGCTTGAAGGAGACCATGCAATCTTGATGGAATAGAGAAACCGAAAACACACCCTGTTGCTTCTCAACAATCGTTTTTTGAGCAAAAACGGAGCTACCTCGACAGGTATCTGTTCCAGTTATTATTTTTTTTAGTATCTACATCTCAGATAGTCTAAAAACCAAAGTCACAGGCTTGTCAATTTGTCAAAATTGATACCTAATTGATACTTAATACCAGATGGTAAGGTACTTGATAACTCTATTAATTCAGGAGCCAAATACAGTCGAACAAAGAACTATAAGAAGGCTGCAATGTTGAAAAAGCATCGATAAGGTTCGCTAGGATCTTGGAATCAGAATGCAATTCAGGGTCGCAAGATGGATAAGAATCTACGAAATATGAAGTCAACGAACAAATGACCTGATTTTTCTAGCCTTGACGCCAGAAGTTGACCTCGAGGATCGGGATGTATGCCTCAGAAAATAGGTAAATTTTGAGAACAATTAATTTAAGGGGTAATCCACGCTTCTCGCAACCTGAACCTAGGATTTTTAGGGCCGAACTACCCTAGAACTCCGACAAATGTGGCGAATGCGTCGGCGGGGCTTTGACCGAGATATCAACGCTGTCAGCCATGAGGCTCGCGCAATTCTTCCTTCAAAACCATCCCTTACTGTTTTCGCATCAGAAAAAGCACTGCCCGAATTATAAACGTTGCAACATTAAGGCTAATCAATATGCCTATGCTGATTTATCGAATGTGATCTGCGTTAAATATTTTTTTACGTAAATCAGTTCGCAAAGAAGCTTAGAGGTCGCATCCACGAACTACATTTTTATCTATAAGTCCTATGGGCGAATTTTTAGGTTTATTACTTTTTTGCCCGATTTGTTGATTTGGATTGGGTTCAGGCCGGCTATGTCTATTTTTTCGACGTTACTATTAGTCATAAATTCAGGTTCTTTAGCATTATCGCAATAGCGAAACTGTTGATATACTCTTTTTTGTTATTATTCCAAAATGTACAAAATTTAAAAAATGGTATGAAAAATACAAAAATAATCTAGACTTTTCAACCAAAAATGAAGAGTTATGAAAATTTTTGGTTTGGAAAATCCTCCCTGATAATGCAACGCAACCTAAGTTCCTAGTGGCGACAAGCTACAGATGCCAATTTTGCACGAGCTTTTTGTGTTCCAATTTTTTTCAATCCCAACTATCGAAATTCCGGACGATTTTTCTGTTTTTTTTTACGTCATTTCAAGTGAACTACGTGAAAATTATACTAAGAGATTTAATTTCAACGGAAAATCCCACAATTTAAAATTATTACTTTATTAAGCTCAAAAGTTTAATCGATGAAAAATCGTTAAAAGTGAGGTTTTTTGGACTGAAATTAAATATCTTAATATAATTTTTGACGCTCTATTCGATGGCGTTTTCAAAATAGCAAGATATTCTTTATAAACACAAAGATTGTTTCCACCCCCCGGATATTTGTTCTCCCCCAGCCATTAAGCAACCTTTTCTTTCGACCGCATGTTTAGTCTCCGAAAAGCCCGAGAGAACACTTTTTGCGCGATAAAAACCGGCGGTTCCTGCCGCCCGTTCGGCCGCTGTAAACGTATACAAAAAGCCTTCGGCCCCGGGGCTTTTTGGCTGAAAAGTGTTGCGATTTTCCTGATTTTTACCTCCTTATATCCGTTTTATTAGTTTAGTAAAGATTTTGGATCACTATAGTTTTTTGCCAATTTCACAAAAAGATTTTTTCGAAAAATTGGCGCATTCTCTGATGATTTTCACCAATTTTTACACTTTTTCCAGGTCTTGGCCTCGATTTGGGTGATTTTTCTACAAAAGCGGGTTCACAAAAACCCGCTTCATTTGCGGCATCCATCGTGCTGCAGTAGTAATTTCTACGGCATCGAACGAATACAAAAGTTCCTGTTATATGCATAGTTTGGTCGCTTCAAGCCTGGTGGTGAAGAAAGGTGCGAAAAAATTGCACAACGATCCTAATGGCATATCCAGCTATTTTTCAGTACTTTGCACAGTTCTTAGCCCACCAAAAACCTTCGAAAAAGTTGCGTTAAGGTGTGTTGTTGATTGGTACGATATGCACCACGGCACCAATCGAGCCACGGATTTAATCGAAGCGTTGAAAAAGGTCGTTTATCACCTCCTCAAAAACTTACTACGGTATGTCCTTTGAGCCTTAAACATTTTCAAAAATTGTCGCTTTACCGTTTTCGATTCTAGGAAAATAGATAAAATGGAAACAATGAAAGCTATAATGGAAAGCCATGTTAAAACCGGCCGGAAAGAAAGGTAAGAGCTTATTACAACACAACCCTAATTAACAACGAGCGAAATTTCAATAAATTTAATTTTTTTCAGTTCGCACCGGGATTTGTCCAAATGTCCAAGTGTTTTATTTATTAAATCGATGCGGCTTCAAAGGAAAAAAGCGCGCTAAACACAGTCGTAATAGACGCACTGAAGGGACTCGTTTATCAGCTCTTCAAAACCTTACTACGGTATGTCCGGTTCAGCCGTAAAACTATGCAAAAACGCTGTCACTTTATTTTTTCGATTTTAGGAAAATAAGTACAATGGCAAACGATGTGAGGAATGTCATGTTAATTACATAAAAACAAATCGTCAACTGAGGCAGGAGAATATTACCGGCTAATACTATTGACAGATCGAGCAATTTTGAGCAAATTAACCAAAATGTTTAGTCACCGTCGGTAGGACCGCTAGGCGTTTCAATTTCCAAAAAACATGTTGCTTTAAAAGTTTACTAATGTTAGGAAAATGATAAAATGGCAAATGAGGCGGGGAAGTCATGTTATATAACTGACAAAACCGGTTGGGAAGAAAGGTAAGCAAATATTACACGCTAATGCTAATGACGAATCGAGCTCTCTTCAGTACCTTAATCGATGCTTCTTGACCGACATCCCCGAGGTGAAATATATCAGAAGATATGTATTTACTAATTTGTTGAATAGAAAGGATGCTGAATAGAATGTCGATCGGAAAAACGGCCTTAATAGCAAAAGGGTCATTAGCCACCCCCTCAAAACCTTACGGTATGTCCATTTCAGCCTCGCCATTTTCATAAATGTTGGTCAATTTACCATTTTCTGTTTCTAGCAAAATAGACAAAATGGCGATCAATGCAAAGAAAGTATTGTTAAACTTTTCAAAACGGGCGGTAAAGTAACCTACACAACAAAGAATTGAGGTAATTGCTGTACATTACACCATTTATTTATTGGTGGTTGAAAGGACTGAGATTGCGAGGGCAGAAAAATCCAAGATTGGACAAGCCGCAATCGACTTGATTTTTTTTCCCGCCTGTTCATTACCTAAGCCTCCTAGCCAGAAGATCACAACATTCCTGATTAAATGCCGATCAATAATTAAGTATTTTAAGCGTTGTTTTTAAGCAACCGACAGCCTGGAGATCGATCAAAGCTGAAGCTATATACTTTATTCGATGCAACTCTTTGACCGAGGACACAACCGCTGCCGAACAGGTTACTGCTATCGTACAAGTCCTCCAAAAAGATAGTCTACCACCTCAGCAGAGCCCTACGCTATGTGTTTTTCAGCGTTACAATTGCTCAAAACTGGTCGTAATCTTTAGTTTTGCTTCAGAAAAATATGAAAAATGGCAAACGATGTGGGGAATGTTGTGTTAGCTACTTTTCCAAAACTGATGGTCACGTAAGGTAAGCGAATATTACAGAGTAATGCGAATAGCACAACGAGCTCTTTTGCAGTACCTTAATCGGATTTTTATTGACCGAAGGGCGTGAGGTGAAATAGATCTGAAGACTGGTATTTGTTGATTTCATGGATAGAAAGGGACCTCAATCGATTGAATCGATGCGGCAACGAATGTAAAAAACACTGCCAATCGCAATGCGGACCTTACCGAACCTACGGAAAAGGTCGTTAATCGTCTATTCATCGCTTCGGCATGTCCTTTTCAGCCTCGCAAATTACCAAAATAGGCTGCGATAACTATTTTATGTTCAGAAAACTAGATGAAATGGCAAACGAGACGAAGAAAGTCTATGGGAGCTACTTTTCAAAACTGGTGTTCAAAGAAGGTGAGAGAATATTAAAGGGATAGGGGCGGCAGAAGACAATCGATTACGCGCGGGAAAGAAAATATCTCTGCGCCTCTCCCCTGGGCGCCCTCTCTCGCCGCTGCCTCTGTTGAACCCCCCCTCCCCCAGGGGGGTTCAACAGATGCCGCCCTCATCTCTTTAAAAGCTCATACGATTGGCATATCGTGCCATTTTTCAGTAACTTAACCGATGTTTTTAGTAACCAACAACTTGGGCTAGAGGCAAAATGAAGCTGTGGATTTACTGATTTGTTGATGGAACCAAAAGCAAAAAAAACATCAAAGTTAGAAGATCCCTAAACGACGCGGTCCAAACGCTCGTTTCTCATCTCTTGTTCACTTCATGAAACGTGATCCATTACCTTTACGAAGGCTCAATAATTCTGGTAATTTTATCAATTTTTATTTTAGCAAAAATCAGTATCAGTACGCAACCACGCGTGCGGTGTATTGCCCAGATACTTTGACTTGGTATAGGCTGGTCGTGATGAAAGGTGGGAAAATGTTACATCGTAATCCTAATGACTTATCGAGCTAGATTTCAGTATTTTTCACCACTTTAACTAGTGCTTTTTGTGGCCCAGAGCATCGAGATGGAAAAAAAAATTGAGCTACGTATTTATTGGGTCTATACATCCAAATTTTCGCAGAAGAGTACGACGCTGCCGTGGGGATAAAACGGGCCGTTTCTCGTCGCGTCAAAACCTAGCGGTATGTGTCTTCCTTATGCCTCAAAAATACTAAAAATAGCTATAATCTGAAATTTTTAAAATACCCGGTTTTGTTTTAGAAGTCGGCTATATTTGAGGAATCGATGTGGAAGTTCAAATGTACATATACAGGGTGAGGCATATATATCGCTACACCTCTAGCACGCACAAATTGGTCTGCCGGCGGAAAACTGATTATATTTTCGGGGTAGTCGATATTTCCCATCAAAGAACTAGTGTCTCTTTATGCAGGAAATAAATTTAAATGGTTGAAAATTGTTTCGATTTGGGTTTAGCTTACAAGGAAGTTCAGCGCTTTTCTCGAAAAAGTGGTGTGTTGGCACGCTGCTCCTAGGACCCCGTATATTGGTAATTCTGCTGCAGTTTTTTTGTATTCTGGTTCAATCGGATCTTATTTATGTTTTCCAAAAAGTTTTTAGTCGGAAACTAGCGAGGGAATTTTACTACATTCAAAAAAGGAGTGATTACCCACCCCTCCACGCCCTTTGGTTGGCCACTAAAAATTCATCAGAAAATCTAAGCCACCTGAATATTTTGATTCGAGCTGTTTTTTGCATTTTAGGCATCCGATACGAGCAATTCCCATTGATAAAACCAAGAAATTGAACGAGTACAGGTCAAAAAATGTATTTTTATGTTTTTTACTATGGTTTTTGTAACCAGCTGAGCCAAACTTTTAACTTTCTGCCGAATGAAAAGAAATAAGTTGGTCTCATTGTCTTTTTAGTTAAATTCTAAGTAGTACAAATGTTTTTAGGGGTCATTCGGGTCCAAATCGATGTTTCCGAACCATACCAAAATCGGCCGCCAAGGGGTTCCGTGCCAGACCCACCTAACGACGCCCAGTTTTTGCTTCAGAACAAGTGTTTATAGGGTTGTTGCGTTATAAGATTTTAAGAGTGTCAAAACAACCCATGTGGCTATATCACAGCAAAATATTGAAGCCCGGCTCGCTTTAATAATTTTTTGGGGGCCCGAGAGGGTGTAGCGATATATATGCCTCACCCTGTATACCATTCCCTAATGTGGCTATGTGCAAGAAAAAAAAGAAGGTGAGAGAATATTACAACTAGAGATGTTACGAATCAAGTAATATAATGACCAAGTAAATTTGCTTGAACAACTTTATTTGCATCTGAAATCTTCAAGTAAATAAAAAATTATTTTACGCCGTTTGCTTAAATAAGCATCAAGTAAAATGAAATTACTTGATTTACTTGATCTTGATTGATTTGGGAGAATTACTTGATTTTCAGCGAAATTACTTGATGTTGTGCAAATTCGCAATGCAAATCAGGCAATCGTGCCGCGAACCCAGTAAATTAGCATGCGATCATGTCATAAAGTTCATTACCATCCGAAAATGCCAGAATTCCAGAAAGCTATTGTTTGATCAAGTAAATCAAGTAAATCAAGTAATCTTACTTGGCTCTTTCTCGAGCGGAGTCAAATAATATTATTTTACTTGGTCATGCGCCCAGCCCCATCCAAATTAAATAATATTGTGCAAATGTATGCAAATAATCTTGATTGTTAATTGATTCTTAACATCTCTAATTACAACCCAATACTATTGCCATATCAAGTTAAGTTTTCATAACTAAACCAATGTTTTTAATCACCGATTGACTTGCGTTTAGGTGCAATCTCAACCTGTGGTTTCAAAAATCAAAAAACTCGATGAAGGTTTCAAAAAAATCAAAATCAGAAGTCCCCTGAATGATGCTATGAAGACCCTCGTTTCTCATCTCCTGATGACTTCAAGAAACGTGCGCCTCCACCTTTACATAGGGTAAAAAACAGTCATTTTCTATTTTTGATTTTAGTAAAAATCGATATCAGTCGGCCACTATGCGTGCTGCACAACGCCCATATACCTTGACTTGCTATAGGCTGGCCGGGGTGAAAGGTGAGAAAATGTTACATTGTAACCCTAACGAAATATAGCGATCGAGCTATTTTTCATTACTTTAACCAGTGTTTTCTAGCCACCGATAGCCCTGAGATCAAACCATATTGAAGCTATGTATTTTTGTTGCAATGCAGGATTCGAATGTTAACATTTCAAGAGAAGCAGATCCTTGGTCTCCGGCATCAAACTGCTCGTTACTCGTCACGTCGTAACTTAGCGGTTTGTTTTCAGATTTGAGCTACTAAAAAAACTAAAACAGGCTTGCAACTGAAATTTTGTAAGTTGGCCCAATTTTATTTTAGAGGTACGCAAGAAATTCGGGATCACTGTGGAAGCGAAATATCAATGTCATTCCCTGTATGAAAGGTAAAATAATATTACAAGCTATTATTATTGCCATATCAAGTTATTTTTCAAAAATGAACCAATATTTTTAGTCACCGTTAAACTTTAGATAAAGGGAAACTAAAGCCATGCATTTATTGACTCGACGAAGGATTTACAAGCAAAAAACATCAAAGTTAGAAGATCCCTAAACGACGCAATCCAAACGATCGTTTCTCATCTCTAGATGACTACAAGAAACATAAGGCTTTCACCTTTACAAAGGTTCAACAAACAGTGGTAATTTTATCAATTTTTATTTTAGCGAAAACTCTGTGGGCGACTACGCGTGTTGTATCACGCCCGGCGGCTTTTACTTGCTATAGGCTGGCCGTGATCAGAGGTGAGAAAATACTACAAGGTACATATCACGAAAAGTCACGACATCTCCAGCTAGATTTCACTACTTTAATTAGTGTTTTCTAGTCACCGAAAGCCTTGAAATCGAACAACGCCTATTTTTCGAATCACCTCGCGGCAGGGGTTTTATTATGGGCATCCATAGTTTTAGAGGGAGGATATAGATTTTGCGATTTTGAGCAATTACAAGGATTTCCCGCAGTTCAAACTGCCAACAACCACTCAGAAATACAGTAAGAAGCCGAAACAGAAACTTTTTTTGATTTTTTTTGCTTCTTAGAGGCAACTTTGAAAAATTTTTTGGGGGATTTATTAGAGGTTTATTGCAGGCATGGCAATTTCGGTCGGCCGGGCCGATCGGCCGGGCCGAAAGCCGACGTATTCGGCCACTTCCGGGCCGATTTCTGCATGCTAATTTTTTTCGGCCGGCCGATCGGCTCGGCCGATTCTTTGCCAATTCGGCCGGGCCGATTCGGCCCGGCCGACAATTTATCATATTTTGTCTCTATATACAAAACATCTAAAAGGGCGGAAAGTTCCGCTTATATCGGACACCCTGGGATCCTTCTGATAATACTCGCTTGAATCGGCACACGAGCGCGCCCAAAATGTTGGAAAGAAAATACGAACTATGTTATTTCTACAGAAAACAATGAAAAACATTCGATTCAATCTAACTAAAAAAGAGGTGTTTTTTGTACCTCGTTGCTATTCTCAGAGGTTGTAGGTGGTGAAAGTTCGGCTTCCCTCCGTACAAAGGATGCCGCGTTGTCCAGGGGCCGAATAGACTTTAGTAGCGCAGCATAAAATCCTTTTTACCGCTTTGAAAGCGATTTGAGGGTGTTTCTTTTCTTCTATATAGATTTTTAGCAATGGATTTGACTTCTTCAAGCAGCAGCGAACCAGATGTAAAGACTACGCCTGCTCGCCGTAGAGGTAATTTCGTTCATTGCCCTGGTGTATAGCACAATTAGCAGATCTACTTTCAAAGTTCTTTACGGTCGGAAAGGAGGAACAAAAATGCTTGCTGGCCAAGATGTGGACAGAGAAATCGGCTTTTCTGCAGATGGTAACCATTAGTTATTGGCAATAATGGATGTTCAGGAAAGCATTGACACGCATTTCGACCGGCTCGAACTCATCGTCCAAGGAAACGTGCGAACCACCGATTTTGCCGCATGTAAGAGATGTGGTACTATCATGAATTTTGCAAAACGTGGAGGACACCACAGGCATGCAATTTATGACTTGATAAATCTAGCTGTTAACTCAGGAGACATACGATCACTTGTGGAATGGTGATGAATAACCCGTTGCCGCAGAAGCATGACACTGCACGGGGCGCCGGTGCGTCTGATCGATTCTATCTCAAATTATTTTAGCGAAATATACCAAAGATGGGCTGCGCACGCGAATTGGAGAATACTTATTGAAAACAGCTCAATCATTTTCACACGCGGAAGAGCCGGAGTTTCGTCAACTTCTCCAGTACGCGGCAGAATTCGGGTGAGAATAGCTGACTAACGATTGAACCCGTTGTTTTGCAGGAAAAGAACGGGAGATACTATACCAGATGCACATTTTCCGAATCGGCGTCATATAAGTTCGCATGCGGAAGAGAACTACCAAAAGCAACTCGAGCAAGCTTGCCCGCAGGTAGCCAATCACTTTATACAATGATCGTTATTTTTTAGTTGCTCCGTGCGGCACAGGAGAAAAGATTGGCTATCCTCGCTGATCACGGTCATTTTTTCGATGATTATCTCTCCGTTTTTGCGACGTATTGCAACGAAGATATGCAGACGAAACTCGTTCCGTTAGCCTTAAAAGCGGTTTCAAAACCCGAGAACGCTAGAGAGGTAAGCAATCAATTTTACTAATCTGCCTTTAAAACTTCAGTTGTTCGATTCCCTCGTCGATTGTGTGACGGCAATTGGGCTCCAAGCTTCGGATTTGGAGAATGCCCCTCTCACTGCAGATGGCGCCGCTGTCATGCAAGTAGTCGGCAACACTTATTTGGAGGAAATTCGGTAACTTTTACGTGCGATGATATGTTTCTAGGAGGCTGTAGCCTGGGGGCCAAGGTACCACCAGAGTTGGATGTAATTTTTGTGAAACGACGTCAAGAAGGCGTTTAAATTTAAGTTCAGGGACGCAGCGTAAGGTGGGCCCCCTGGGCCCGGCCCCCGAAATCGGCCGGGCCCAAAAATTTCATAAGGGGGACCCTTATGATTTTTATTTTATCCAAAATTTTGCTGCCTGCGGCGCTCTTTTTTCACGTTTTTACTGCTATTTGTAGAGCTATGTAGCCTCTTTTCCCAAAATTTTTCGCCTGCGGCGCTGTTGTCTCGTGAATTTTTTGAGTTTTTCGCAAAAAATTTTTCGGGCCCCCCCCGAAATTTTTTTTCTGGCTACGCCCCTGTTTAGGTTTACCATATTCTACGGGAAATGAAGCCGACGAGTGTAGTGGTCCTCAGTGCTTAATATATGGTATAATAATATTTAATGGGTGCCTCATGTGGCTATCGAAATTACCAGAAATTTGTGGGTTTTGAAACAGGAAAATAATTTTTATATAAACCTTTAATTTTGATTTATTTAATTTAGTTCTGGATAGGCAGCAATATTTGCTATATTTTAATATACGAATGTATGTAATTTTGATTGGATTTTCAAAATTTTCCGAAGCTGTCAAAAACTATTCCTGCACCCCTCCATTACCGGAATAATCCGAGTAATGGCCACGCGAAGGGGCTTGCCACCAAGATAGCAATGACTCTCCAGTTGTTCCCATACCGGTGGATCATCGGGACAGTGGAGGTCTGAGGAATATATATACGCCGAGTGATTTCCCACAGACCACGAATAAGATCCAGTGTATTTACCAATGGAAGGACAGATAGAGACAAAAGATTTATGTACATTAGTATATGACATAAATAAAGGAACAGGTGAGTAAAAGGCTGGCCTAAAGGGCCAGTAGAAAGAGTCTGGAAGGGAAGGGGAATGGGGTAGACTGATAGGGGGAAAACGCCTGTCTGACTCTAGCTTTAGCCGCACCAGTTCCACAGGGGTAGAACTAGACGGTAAGCAGAGCGCGTGGAACAAGACTCAGAAATACTCGTTCACACGCCGACACCCGTGGGACTCACGGAATCGCCATACGGGGTGGCATAAAAGCCAACACACGCGTAGGGCGATAAATCCGAGAGCCCCCAGAGGGGGCGGTGCCTACGATAGCGCGCGGCCCTGCGGGACCCAGCGCGGTCCACGGGATAGCAAGAAACCTCGGAAGTCACGTGGAAACGGAGTAAATACTCCGATTCCAACGGAACTTTCGACACTCCCGCCCGGCTTGGGGGCCGAGGGAAGTGCTGGCGCTTCACCGTTGGTACCGGGTCTGGGGGCAGGAGCCTCGCGGCCTCGAAGTGGGGGTCTGGGAGGGGGTGACGAAGAACTGACTAGGTCTGGATAGGTTTGGGACTCCACAAGGGAGTAGACAGGTCTGCTTAGGTAAAACGGGGGACTCTCTGTCGGTAAGGGAAATGAGCCCGACTGGAGAGTTAGGAGGAGCCGGAGGGGGGCTGGGAAAGAGGGACTCCTGTGGAGGAGTAGACAAGTGAAAATTGGGGACACTAGGCTAAAGGCCTAGGAAAAAGAGAGAGAGGGGAAGGGATCTGTGCGCCCCTAAAGGGCCCGGTAACCCGACGCACAGATAGGGCCTGAAATAGAAAAACAAAAAACAAATAGGAAAAGAGTGGCTTATCAGATTCGCTTCCTCGAGGCAGACTTGGCGGAGATGACGTTGAAGACGAGGGCGGACGGCGACTCTTGACGGGAAGCCGGCTGCTCATCTGCTTGTATCCTTGAGTCTGCTTAGAGGGAAGAGAAGATCTGCTTAAGGGACATCTTTCCTATTCTGCTTGGGTGGAAACGTTTTTTATGAATCTGGAATTTAGGAGGTAGGTGCAAAAGAAAAAACCTCCTGACCCCAGATCCATGTCTGCTTGAAAAAGGGAAAATAATTTAGATTCTGGGTTGGTAAAATACAAAATACAAAAGTCTGCTTGGTTTTGGTATAACTACCAAGGCTGCTCAGTGTTGTCCGCGACCCTTCGATTTCGAAGGACGGGACGAACGAGAGCGGGAACCCTGGAAGTTACCGCGCCCACTCCGGCTTCGGCTTTCGCCTTGGCCGGCTGGCTCCGGATCTGCGATGCGTCTCTGACGCTCAGCTTCAGCACCTGCGAACGCTGCCTGGAAAGGATTCGCATCTCTGACATCGAAGGGATGAGCAGAGCGCGAAGTTCCTTGGCCAAGCAGCGTATGAGAAGACGAAGAGGACTGCGTTGACGATGTAGACGCATGGCTCTGGACTTGGGAAGTGGAAGCCTGGAGGCTAGTTCCGCTCATCTGTGGCTTGGCCACGGTCTGAACGTTCTGAACTGCCTGGATGGTAGAAGCCATTCTGGGTTTCTTGTCGTCGTCGCACTTCCTCTGTGGGCTAGTGCTCGGGCGCTTCTGCTTGCCGAGGCCGAATTGGCGGGCCAGGTTCAAAGTCTGCATAAGCGCAGCTTGCTGACGCTGTTCGGCAGTGAACGCTACAACGCCGGGGCGAGAGACTGGGTTTCGCGCTTCTCTGCGACGAATATTCTCCGCATTTGTGGGCGGAGGGAGGCCTGCTTTGATGGCGTCAGCGAACATATCCTGCTTGATGCGAGGATAGTTCTTCCGGTCCCAATCACGAAGAGTGGTCCGGTCGGCCAACAAGTCATCTGCTGTCAAGTCAAAGGTACCAATCTGGATGTGGCGAACCATGCACCAAGCGGCGCAATGATACGCTTCGCCACAGTGGGGACACTTTCCGTCTTCCGTTGGAATTGGGAATCTGCACTGGTTGAAAGCGTGGGGGCCTGGTTGAGTCTCCACTGACTTTGACCATTCTCTGTTCCTCACGCAAAGAAGCGAGAACCTGTCGGAGTCACCCGGACAGATGTTCATCGTCTTTGCGAGAGTGAGAACGAAGCTGTAGGGGGCCAGTAGGAGACAGACTTCTGGACAGTGGCAATAGCTATCGCTACCCATGCAATAGCATCTCGGGTTGCGGCCGCCTGACTGAGTGGGGATACTGGACTTGGCGTAAGCGGGAAGCTTGAGGAAATCCTCAAGAGCTTGCCTGGGAGTGCGTCCGCCAAAATCGGTCTGCTTATTGGAGTAGATGAAGTAATTGACTGCTCGGCGAATGACTTCAACGGTGTTGCCGTTGACGTTCAAGTGGAACACAACAAAAAGCAAGTCCCACCGGAACTCATTCTTGCCAATGATCTGGACGTAGACGTACTCGAGGTCTGCGGAGCTGTTAAGCCCTGCGGTACGACCACCGAGGTAGCCAAGCATTCCTGGTCTGATCCCATCGGCGAAGCGATAGTGCTGGTTGAAGATGGTGTACGGTGTGTATTCAAGCACCTTCACATCTGGGCGGTCTGGTTGTGTGCATACACGATACACTGGAATAGTTCTGACACGAACCAACCACAAGTCGTGTTGGAACTCGGTTTCTGCTTTGTACGCAACAGCGTCATTTTTCTGGTAAGCCTGCCACGAATGATCGACGTATTCGGGCGGGTACATGGCAGCGTGCCAGAGTTTGGATTCAAACTCGCTCAAAGGCTCATCGGCGGTGATCTGACTGAACCTGTCCGAGGCCAGGGAACGGTAGTATCCGCTGACACGGCGAGCTGGGCTGCGCCTGTCGCTGCTCCTTTTCTGGTCATTCCACTTGTAAAAAATGGCGGCTTCGACTGCTTTAGGAGAAGGCTCTTCTGGGGTACTTTCTCGACCGAGTTCATTGAGCTCTGGGTCGTAGGTAAAGTGGGAAAAGTCTGGATTGGATGCTTCTCCTGTAAGGGGAGGGCAAACAAAATTCTTATCTTCGAAGCATCGAATAAGAATTTCTCCTGGGATGGTGGAATCAGCAGGGGTCAATCGATGGACTGTGTCTGCGTGATCGGTCTGCTGAGCTGTCAATTCTGCGATGACAGTCTGGGATCCTTTAACAATCACACCGTGTTTTGGGCTTTTCTCCCAAAAACCACACATGGACTGATGGTAAACAGGTCCTTGTGAGAAACGGTACTGAGTGTTTCTGGGCGCCACAGCGTTTTGGTGACTGAACGGATAGACGTTCTCGTCTTTGCCTGGAGTAATCTTGCCGAACTCTGCCGTAGCAAGATTAGGATCAGTTGGAGTGATCAGCTCGTGGTCTGGACTGTTCATTTTATGATGGATCTGCTTTCGACGAGATTCTCGACGCTGACTCTGCTTTGCAAGCTCTTGCCGAGGGATCTCGGTAAGAGCATCGTAGACTGCTTTGAGGTAGGCCTCTACCGTAGGATCGAGGATTGTAATTTCTTTGTTGTACAAAGAACGGGTCTGCTTAAGGACATCAGCCCAGGCTTCCTGGTAGAATCCTTTGTGATCCAGCTTGCTCTCGAAGTCGGTGTGTACGCACAAGCTTACAGCCATAACTCCGAGAATGCCGGCATCAAGCTGAGCAGCTTGCTGGAAGAATTCCCAAAGGAATTCGATGAGCTCATCTGCGGTTTGGTCGCAGGTCGTGAGACTAATAATCTCGCGAATGATCTCTCCTTTCTGGGCGAACAGTACAGGTGCGACTGTCTCCATGGTCTGGAAGTTGCAGAGGAAGTTGTTCATACTTCCTAGGTTCTGGGGAGTGCTCGCATCTTTCAGATCAGCACCTGCTCCGATGAAGGCGCGAATAATTTCGCGGGTTTCTGGTTTACGCAAGAAAAACTCGCGATCGCGGAATCTGGGTTCGCACTCGATCACCCAAGGTACGTTTGCACGACGCTGGGCTGGGATCGGTGGCATGGGCCTGACCAAGATGTACTCGATCTGGAGGTTCTGAGCGCAAAGAGCGGCGCTAATGCATAGCCTCTCCGTTCCTGCGTAGACGATCTGGGTCCTGGGGGACATACCAATAGGCGTGAAGTAGAAGACTGTATCAAACAATCCCTCCTGTTCAGCCTGTCCGGTCTGAAGATCCGGCTTGGGTTCTATCCACCATTTGAAGGGGGCACCGCAGACGACCATGTTGTTCACGGTCATCCACGTACTGATTAACTTCGTCAGCCCAATCCATTGGTTGGACTGACTTAGTGATATCAGCTTGGGTCTGGGTAGGGTCGTTGTTCAGGGCAAGTTGGTCAACTTGCTTCGGGGTTTCATCCGAATGTTCCTGAATGGTCTGCTCTGTGCCTTTCGGCTGCTCCTGCTCGTCAATCTGCATCGGAGTTTCGTCCGAGTTCGGATCGACAGTCTGCTTAAGCTCACCTTGCGGCTCGCCTGGTTTCTCCTGCTCACCATCGGATTCCTCCATGGCCGACTCCTCGCTGCCGTCATTAGGGCCGAGGCCCAACTTGGCAACAG